AAATCTTTAAAAAAAAATAAACCATATTACCAGCTCCTAAATAATCAAGGTTTGCTGTTCACTAACTACTTGCATTTTTGAAAGCATTCTTTTGGTCTACAATAGGGTTGAAGAGTCCAAGAGACATACAACATGAATATTTCAGGTAGACATAATAAATAAATATATAAATTCATAGGTAGGAGAATCTATAGGTCTAATTTGGATCTGACAACTTTCAATTACAGATTTTCAATGTCTTACTTCATTCCCAGGAGATAATTTTTTTAAGTGTCTAAAAGTCATGAATTTAAAAGAATCTTTAAACTCATCAATGATCCTTGTTTACTACTTAAATGCATGCAAACGCTCACAACATGGGTTTGCTTAGGAGAAGATCTTGAGTGGACTCTCTGGCTCTGGTTCAATTCCTGTGAATAAGTACTTCCAAGTTTACTTGCAGAATTTCCCAGACAAAGAAGTTCTTCCATTTGGTTTGCCAGAGGATCTGAAGCAGTGGTGAGCCTTGGAGTCAAGGGAACGTTTACTGGCCCTGTTCACACCCTGCACAGCAAGACTTACATCAGGCTAAAGACCGTGCATTGTGACCTGACCTGATTTGAAGAGGGTCACTCTGTAACTCCTCTGAGCTACTAAATAAGGAGGCTAATGGACTAATTGGAATGGACTGGCTGACTGAATGGGCTGACTCTGCCACCTTGGAAGGCGGTAATAAACATTTAGGGAATAACCTCAACCCAGCTCATGGGTCAATTGGTTGTTTGCTTGTGTGTTGTTTCAGATAAGGTTTCTCTAAGTACACATTTGTGATTCTTAATTCAGTCCAGGCTCCAGCGTAAAGGAGAGAAAGGGATTGAAGGAAAAGTCAGGTGGGAAAGAAGGATTGGAAAAGAAGAAAGGACAGTGGAAGAGTAGAAGAAGCTAGGAAATGGGGAAACCTTAAAGGACATTTTAAAAATATGCCCTTGGGGGCCTCCCTGGTGGTGCAGCGGTTGAGTGCAGTGCTGTGAAGCTGTCCGCAGCCTCTGCAGTGCCAGTTTGATCCCCTCTGGCCATGGAGAGGCCCACATGGCAAGGCAGACCTCTCCTGTCTCGCCCGCTGCTCCCCTCAGCAGGGTATTTCATCAGTCTGCCTGTTCTGTTCCCCGCTCTGTCTCTGGTGAGTCCTCCCACCCTCCCGTTCATCTGGCCTGTACCCTGGTTCTTTTTTTTTTTTTAAAAGATTTTATTTATTTATTTATATAAGCACTGGGTACAGTCAGAAGTGCGGGAGGTTAAGAGAATTCACCAGAGCCAGAGCGGAGAACAGAACAGGCAGACTGATGAAATATACTGCTGAGGGGAGCAGCAGGCAAGACAGGAGAGGTCTGCATGCCATATGGAACCTTCGCCCAGCGACCGGGGATTGAACCAGCGCTGCAGAGGCTGCGGGCAGCTTTGCTGTGCCATCGGGGAGGCCCCTTGTATAAATAAATAAATCTTAAAAAAAAAATGCCCTTGGGCCTTCCTGGTGGCACAAGAGGTTAAGTGTCAGCACTATGAAGCTATCCCCAGCCAGGGAGATACCCATATGGCCCAGCAGACCTCTCCTGTCTCACCCACTGCTCCCCTCTGCAGTGTATTTCATTTAGTCTGCCTGTTCTGCTCCCCACTTGGTCTCTAGTGAATCCTCTCACCCCCTCTCCCCGCCCTGCACCTCTGGCTGACACTCCAGTTCTTGTATGCATGAACACATAAATCTTTAAAAATAAAAATATGCCAATATGCCCTTTATTGGTGCAGGTGAATGACTTAATTCAATTGTGATTCAATTGTGATTTTTGTGTTTATGGCAAGGAGCAGTTGGAAAGAAAGGAAAAGAATGAATACAGGTCGAAGGAAGAGTGTTACAGAGTGAACTGGTAAGGCAAGAAGGATCTGGACCGGCAAGACAGAGAGGAAAGGAGTTCAGAAAAGGGAGAGAATCCTGTTGAGCCTGGAAGGGTAAGAAGGAAAAACATTGGAATCCCAAGTGCTAGAAAACAATAAAGCAGAGAAATACCAACTTGCCCTTGCTCTCATTGTTGAGGGAACTGCCAAGACCCCAGTCAGGTCTATGGGTAGAAGGAGGGGACACATGAGTCAGGGGGCTGGGGGTTCCATCAGTCTCATCACTCCCAAATAGTTTGATCTCAGCTGCCTTCACAGGAACCAAGCCAAACTGGCACAGCTCTAAGCGGGAGGTGGCTGCAAGCCCACTCTCCTTCCTCAACCAATTTACAACTTCCGGTCTCCAAGAAGGTCTGTGTACATGTGGACACACACATAGTGAGTTGAGCACTTAGGCACTGAAGCACATGTGGGCTAGTAGGAGGTCTGCTGGGAAATAGATGCAAAGAATGTTGGAGGGAGAAAGGACAGCCTGGGTTTCATGAACTAAAAATATCTTGGTGACAAGGCATTGGGAAGAAATGGGAGAGGCCCAGGGGGAGAAGGACTCGATTCAGAGCCTCACATGCTTTCTCACGGACGGACTGCAGCATTGTTTTGATAGAGAAAGGTGATCTGAAACACGAAGGGTCATCTTGTTGGATCTGAAAAGAATTTTAAGTTTAATGTACTTCATCTGGGCTCCTGGGGTTTTTTTTTTTTCCTGTAGTAATTGCTTGCAATTCATATATGTTTTTAATAGCTAACCTAAAATTGCCTGTGACAGAAAAATGAGTTGAATTCAGGATATTTCTGAGATTCTGATTCTGTGATGTTGTAAAACCTAGATTTAATTTAGACAAACTTCCCACATAATCTGTCGTTCTGAGTGCCTGTTAGAGAATGTCGTCAAATATGACTGCATTTTCCTCTTCCAATTTTCAGAGCATTTAAAAGTCACTAACTTTTTAATCCAGAGAGAAGCAGGCTTAAACATCTCTGTCTTTGCACCCTCCAAAAGGATGTGTCCCTATGGTAAGACCCTTTGCCCCAACACTCAGGTTCAGCTGAGACTTGACTCCGAGTTAGCAGGGTCCCCTCTACCTGGTGAGGCTCCATCATGGAATGACTTAGAGTGGCAACACCAGATTCTGAATGACTATGGGTAGTCCTTCTGGATCAAAGTGAGACTGGTAATCCAACAACTGTTAGCCTGATTGCAGATAACGGTGCATCATTTTTCAAAAATAAAAGCTGTAACTCATCGCCTGTGATGAGGAGTTCCTGTCCTCTCCAGGCAGCGGGGTAGGGAGAGCCATCCAAAACCATGACAAACACTATCCCAGGGCCCCGATATGCCACAGAAACAGTTTAGCAATCCTGAAAGCTCTGAGTCAGCTCATCCCTGTCATCCAGCATTTATTTGAACTGTGTTGACTGAGGAATTGCCCCAAAGAAATAGTAACCATGACAATAATTCAAAGAGTAGTGGCTAGGAAAAGGTTAAGGATTCTGTGTGTCTAGTCTACTGATGTGTCTGATCACAATCATCACCCTTACATGGTATCAGGACGTGCTCCTCAGCTTGCTTTCTCCTCCCACTAAAGGCCACACACATAGTGATTGGTCTAGCTGAGGAGTGGTTTCCAGCTCCCGCCAAGTCAGTAATGCAGCCCTCTGGAGCCAGCCTTGTCTACCAGCTCCCTGACCTGCTTTGACTCTGGCCAAATGGATAGGAAGGTTCTTCTTGGGTAACACAAACAGGACAACAACTAACTCAAGAAATCCTGTTTTCTATTTAGCTAGAACCAAAAAAGCCCAAGTTCCAGGCAGCTCTCATGCAGAGCCATGAGGCTGCCCGCCTGACCCCAGTCTTTCAACCAGGCTGCTGCTTTACCTTTTGTCCCGAGACCAGATGAGTAAAACCAATCAGAGTGCCTATATGGAGGAGCCAGAGCAATTAAGAGGGTTTTTGATATTAGAGTGGGGGCTGAGGGGGTAGAAAAGTATTACGAAATCAAGTTCTTTTCCTGGAGGAACTAACCATCTAGTAGCAGGAGGTAAAATTAATATATTTGAATGCTCAGTAAACAAAACAAATCTTCCAAGACCACCCATGAAGGCTACCCCTCTGGGACTCCTATTACTTTGGCTTAATTTTGTTAGAAGGGGTTTGGGACAAAACCATGTTAGCTCACCACCCCCGCCTCACCCCACACACATTTTATTGATGAAGAAATCCAGGCACAGAGACGCTGACAAGAATTGCCTAAGTCATAGACCAATAAGGAGTGCAGCGAGACGTTGAAGCCAAGTTTCTTGTCCTCTTTTTTATTATTTATGTGGCTTCTCCCACACCCCACTCCTTTATTAAAAAAACACCCTCCTATTCTAAGAGAGTATCTTGAATTCGAAAGTCACATGAAACTTCATTAGCTTCTAAGATCAAGTAAGAGCATTTCTTCCCTAGTTTTCCCTAAAGGCTCAGTTCAATGCCAGTAGAAGTCTAGGTTGCTGAGGAGGGGTGGGGGACTGTGGGCCAGGGATTGAAGACAGACCCCCCCCTCCTGTGCCCCCAGCACAGAGCTCAGTTGACCTTCCGGGCCTAAGAATGTGCTGTTGACTTTTTTCCCTACAGGAAACAGGGATCGCGAAAACTTGGGAGTTCTTCCATCTCTGCCACTGACGTGTCCTGGGGCTGGAAGCCAATGACTAAATCTCTGCCATCCTCGACTCTCTCCTTGGAGAAGTGGGGCTTTTTTCATCGCAATTCCTTGGCACACTAAGTCCTCACGCAAATGGCTTCTCAGGCAGCTCCCAAAGTACCAGTGTGTGTGCCTCCACTCCTGGAAGAGTTAATCTGGTTTGACTGTCTGAAATACTAAACCACTAACACTTCCTCGCAGCAAAAAATGTAACTGTCATTTTCCCAGCCCAAGTTGGTGGCAAGTCAACAAAACGAGGGGGAAAGAGGAAGAGGGAGGGAAAGAAGCAGAACATCGCAGTAAAAGAGAAAAAAAAAGTTTTGGAAAATGGGTTGGTGGTTGGGTTAAAAAGTAAGGCGTGGGAGGCGACAACTCTGAATAACTTACCTTAAAACCACCGCGGACAGACAGACGGGCCAACTGGGTGGTCGTGCTCCCGGCTTCTCAGGTCACTCCCTCGGGTCGCGCCGGCCTCCCTCCACCCTCTCCAGGCCCAGGTAAGCAGTTGAACCGGCTCCGAAGCAGGAAGTGGAGGCTGTATGCAAATTTCTACAGAGGCTAGGAAGCCTCAGATCAGAAATCTCCCTGTGGGCTGTGAATCAACAGCCAAGGAGTCACTTTATTTCTTAAAACAGAAACCTCCTTATTCGCTAGAAAGGGCCACTGGCCAATTAGGCTGCGTTTTAGGTTTTAACCCAAGCTAACTTTATGGCTGAGGAATGTCCATGCTGCCCCGAACTTCAGCACACTCATACCCACAGGAGGGGTCTGGGAGGGCTTTGAATTCGGGGTGTTAATCATTAGCCTTTCCAAAGGAAGAGATGGGGACAGATAGTGAGGAGGAGTGTGAAGCAAGTGCTTCTTATCATCTTGTCTTAAAGCAGCAGCATTTACTGCCCTGTGGAAGGGGGATTCATTGCCCAGGACCCCTGTGATTCATATTCTCTCTCTCTCCCTCTCTCTCTTACACACACACACACACACACACACACACACACTTTGCCACATCAACAGTCATAAGAAAGTGGTGACTTTAAAGGAAATACACACACATTGTCCTCCTCTGGCTGCATTTTTCATGATTTCAAGTTTATTTCACTCCTTCATCTTGTTTATTCAGTTTTGTGTAGAATTTATTGTATGAAAAGGATGCTAGGGATAGGATGATGGGGGCAGCGAAGTATGATGGTAAAAGAGAGCTAAGAGTGCTAAAGACAATGTCAAAGGGCAGTGCCAAGGTGGGGACAGGTCACTGATGCTCATTTGCAAGATGTACTCAGGCTCTTGCAAAGGGGTTTACGTAACAAACAGGAAATTGGGAAAAGGAAATTTCTAAGAACACAAGTGGTCAGCTGTCTCACCCCAGATAGTGTCCAGTAGTTCCAAACCAAGGTTGCTCATGCCCCTGTCCATCAATGAGGGCCTGGAGTTGGTGACGTGCTGGTTAGCAGCAGGCCACCAGGGTCTAACTCATGGTGGCAGCTAGAGGTACTCACTGGGTGGGCAGCTGAGATGGCACCGCAGCAGCCCTCAGCAACCGTCTGAAGGAAGGGCTGGAAGATGTGAACTGTTAGGAGAAGGCATCCTAAACATGAGAGCCTTCTGTCTGAACATGCCTGAGGCAGTTCCAGTGAAATATAGATTACAAGGGAAGAGTTGGGAAGTCTGGGAAATGAACACCTCCAACCCCCAGGAATCCCCACTGGTATTTTTATGCTGAAACATACACCCTTATAGTTGCCATCACAGGAGAGACACTCTTCATGAGGACCTACCATATACACTATCTGTTAACACATTTAATCCTCCAGACTGTCCTGTGAGGTGCATTTACCATCATTCTGCTTTACCTTTGAAGAATCCAAGGCTCAGAGACATGTAGTAACTTCATCAAAGTCACACAGCTAGTCTGTAGAGGATTCCAGAATGATCTTGTTAGGGGGGAAAGGATGTCCTGAGCTAATTCCATGCAGGCTTTGTGGACTCCATCCCCACCCCAGGCCAAAGCCATCAGGACATTGGGAAAGACAAATCCCATCTCCACCAATGGGAAGGTTGCTGGGACCTGAGGGTGGAGTTAAGCAGCCAGGTCTGGCATAAATTCAGACATGTGGGTCTTGAGGGGTTTTTTTGGCTTCAGGGCTCTTGGCTCGCAGCCAGCTCTCAGAGTGCCATTGGGTTTCCAGGTCAGCAGAACGGGTAGGATGCATTTAAGACTTTATTTCCCTATTTTCTCTGAGTTGTACATTTCCTCATTTCCCCTTCCCTTGTAAATAAACCTTTTATTAACCTTTTGTGTGTGCCTGCAGTGGAGTATTAATAAGTCCCTTTTAAGCGCGCGGGTGAGGACCCGCAGCCTGGCAACCCAGGCGACCTGCTGTAGTTTGTCTTTCCTACGTGCTTGGTGGAATGCAGGCAACTTACTTTCTTTGTACAACTCTTGACATCCCTCAAGAGGCAGGGGTGGGGGTGAGGTGGAGTAGGGGGAAGTTTTAGACAATAAAAAGTGTAGGCTGAGACTATTCCAGTTCCAGTTAACCTGGTGCCTGGTGCTAAGTTTATATGGTGATGGTTACTGAATAAATAATAGGCAAAGTAGTCAAGATGTGGATCAGACCTCTTTCTCTAGTTAATAGTCTAGAAGGGGAGTATTTCTGTTTGCCAGATTCTACAGTTTGCTGAGTATTCTTGCAAAAGGCATAATTAGATAAAGGTCAGATTTCACCACCTCTGTAAACAAAACAAAACCATTTGGATCTAATGCTCAGAAACTCTCCATACCACAGCGATAATCTATGAAAAGAAAGGAGAAAAGAAAAAAGAAAAGATTAATTCCTTGGACAAGCCTTGATTTTCCACTTTTAAATGCTATGATTTCTAGTGCTGAAAGGGAAGAACACTCCAGTCATGCACTTCTCTCAGAATGGCCTTTGTTCAAAGGGTCCCTAGCTCAGTCCCCAGGTCATTGCTGGGACAGAAGGAGGAAGAAAAGAAACTTCTAGACTCTCAGTGTCTGGTCTTGCCCCCTGGATTACATAGACCCACAACCTTTAGCTCACGTCTGCCTTTTTCTACTCATGAGCTTGCAAATTGAAAGATTCTCAACTTATTCTTCTATCTCTTTCAGAAGCAAAAACTGTGGAGATGCAGACAGTGCCAAACCAACTGGCCCCTAGACAAAGCTTAGTCTGCCAGTTGCTGCTCCCCATCGTTTTGGTGGCTTTTAGTCCAGAAAGGCTACCACACCCAGGCAGATGTCAGAACTGATAACTGCCTCCTCCTCCAATCCCAGCAAAGCCCCTGGGCCCTGCCACCACTATCCATTGCCCCTTCCTTCCTGGTGAGTTCCCATCTGGAATGGTTTCCTGTTCTGGCAGCACATTCAGTCAGGACCTAATAATCTAGCTAGGAGGTCCTGATAATATAGACTCTCAAGAGGAAAAGGATTAGCTCTCAATCTTTTTCCTTTCAAGAGTTTCCTTACTCCAATAAAAATTTATTCCTCTCCTTCCCTGAATAATGGTATATTGGGAACAGCAGGTTTTGTCAAGTTCAGAAAGGTCCTGGTCATACCCTTTCCCAGGGCAGTGGGTTCCTATGCACATTACATTTGCATAAAGGGGAGCACCCTACAGTTCTGGGGAAGCTAAAGATTATCTGCTCCAACGTGATTCTCCTGAGGTCAACTAGACAGCTACTTCTTGCTAAAAATGATTAATCGTGCTGGACTCCTCATTTCTACCACCACAATCATAGCTGTTTTTTACATCATGCTTATTAAGTGCCAATAGTGTTCTAAGAACTTTGCATGCATTTATGCCTTTAATTGACAATAGCTCTATGAGACAGGTACTAGAAGATTAGCTACTATTTACTATTACTATATGTCACATGATTTTCATTATCTGTATAATAAAGGGGAGAAATGTATTGAACAGAATTCCAGACAACTGCTCTACCAGAAAGAAAAGCAGAGAGCAATGCTGCTTCCTATGGAGGTTGGATAGGACAGGGCAAGTCAGAATTTTTGTAAAGGGACGTTGAGAAAAGAGCACCAAGCCGAGGAGAGGAGGTAGAGGAGACACAGCCTTGTGGCCGCAGGAGAGCAAGAGTGATGGGGGGATACTTTGTATTTTTTCCGGTAACCCATTGTGTAGGTTCCTGCATCCATTCAAGAAAATCCATGATGAACAAGGCTATATTATTCTCTAAGTCTTCTCTGTTTGGATGCACTCAAATGTTTGGCTTCTGAATATGTCCTTGGCCAGCTTTATTTAGGTTACCTATAAAAATCAGGGTGATTACTGTAAGACAACAACAACAAAAATAATAATTGTTGATGACTATTTGGAAAATTGGAATCTGAATACTATCAGTGTTGGTGGGACTGTAAAGTGGTGAAGTCACTCTGGAAAACAGTCTGGTAGTTCCCCCAAATTGAAAATAGAATTACCACATGATCCAGCAATCCTACCTCTGGGTATATAAACCCAAAAATTTAAAGTAGTCTTGATGAGTTATTTGAACACCATATTTATAGCAGCAACTTATTCACAATAGCCAAAGGAGGAAGCATCCCAAGTATGCATCGACAGAGGAATAGATGAACAAAGTGTGGTATGTACATACCATGCAATGTTACTCAGCCTTGTAAAGGATTGAAATCCTGTCTCACATGTGCCAACATGGATGAATCTGGAGCATATTATGCTAAGTGAAATAAGCCAGTCACAAAAGGACGAATACAATATAATTCTACTTCCATGAGGTACCTAGAGGAGTTAAATTAATATAGAGAAAATTAGAATGGCGGTTGCCAAGGGCTAAGGAGAGTGAAGACTGGAGAGTTACTGTCTAATGTGTATAGAATATCAGTTTTGCAAGATAAAAGGAGTACTGGAGCTGAATAGTAGGGAGGGTGGCAGAACAATGTCACTGTACTTAATGCCATGCATCCTTAAGATGATGAATTTTGTCTTTCACAATTTTAAAACATCCCCCAAATAGCCTTGTGTGGTAGGTTTTATTACCCACATTTTACAGGCGAGGAGATGAAGTTAGGGGGCTTGCTAGGGCTACACAGCTGGGTTTCAAACCAGATCTGCCTTCCAAAGAAGGTCATGCCTCGCCCCTGCATCATGGTGCCTGGTGCTCACTGGGGTGGGGGTGAGGCAAGGAGGGTGTCAGGCCCATACTACAGTCACACAGATGTACCTCCTTCCTGTGCCCTTTCCAGCTCTGGAAGGCGCTTCCTCCAACACTGCTTTTTCTAGTGTCCTTATTCTCTCCTCTGCCTTTCCTTCGTCAAACGGTGCTCTCAGGGAAAAAAAAAAAAAAAAAAAAACCTGATCACTCATTTATCCCTAAGTTACATGGTGTGAATTTAAATCAATGTGCTACCTCTCTGAGGGGTGTTTGCATTTTAAGCCTCATCACCCTCTAAGAAATGAAAGCCTTTGTTCCATATTAAAGGAATGTCAGGCACCAGGGAGAGCGCAAGGAGGATCTGGAGGGTGGCGGCGGCAGGGAGGGCAACCATACCCCAAAGAAATGCATTAAAAAGGGAGAAATGTAGACTCAATGTTAGAAGGAAAATATATTTTATGAAAAACTTCTCTTTCAAAAGGCTCCACAGAAATGGGAGGTGTGGATGCATGGGGGACAGGGAGTCGATTTACTCCAAATGTTCCCCTCTTGGCTGCCTTGTTTCCAGACACCAAGCTCTTGTTTGTCATCAGAACTGTGCACATGCTAGAAAAGAGAATCTAGAGGGTTGATTTCCTC